ACTCAGTTAGAAATAGAAGTCATTTACAGCCCACTGCGCCTGTGAAAAGATTTATCTGCTCATGAAAAGTAGAATTAAAAATGGGCAACAGGTCTCCAGTGGTAAATTTGGTGAATTTAGCATGGTCCTGAACCTGAGCCTGAGGACAGGCTGTGGTTTAATGTGTCCTTAAAAACCTCCAGTGATGGAGATTCTCTAACTGCATTTGGCAGTTTATGTTAGTACTTTATTATGTCTATACTTAAAACTTCTTTCCTGTCTTAACTAAATCCCAGTTTCTGTCATTTAAAGCCATCTCTGGCTATTGACAGGAGAAAAGTACAAGGCGAAGATCTTCAGAAACAAGTAGGAACAAATATCTTACAAATGAGGAAAAGAATACAAAATTTCCAGTCAGAGACATAAGTAAACATTTTAATAACAGGAGTTATCACTAGTGTCTTAAGTACAAGTCAGGTTTACCTGAGTTGGATACTTCTCTGCCTGCATTTTCAAGTTCTGCATAACTGTAAAAAAGTTATTATTTTTTTTTTTAAAAAAAAAAAAAACAAAACAGAAAACTGGCGTTCTTTAGTTTATTAAAATTCTAACGATTGGAGTAAAAATGTCATTTGTAAATTGTCCTCTTTCAGTCACAGGACAAAATACCAGTTGTTTGCAAATGCAGTGGAAAAAATCTACATAATTATCAAGCAAGTTAATACTTTCATACTTACATCTAGAGAAAAATATTGCAGCTAGGCAGGAAATTTTGTATCCTGAAATTGAAGGCTTTTACCTTAGATTTCTTATTCTGCTTCTTTCTCCTCCAAATTTGTGTTCCCTGAATGATGCTAAGTATCTCTTTCATGAATACAAGTAGCTGGTCCTCAGTTAAGTGGGCAAAAGACTCTACTGATGAAAAACGAATAGTTCAGCTGAAGATCTGTTATGTAATATGATTACACCAGTCTGAATAAAATGTTTAGACTAAAGACTTAAACCGGCTTTTTGCATTGAGTGTGCTAGAGAGTAATATGTTCTGTTGATTCTATATTATTATTTTTGTAGTCTTTTAGTGAATAATCCAGCCTAATTTAATTGGAATTGGATGGATATATAAGGAAGTAAAGTCTCTGCCTCTGATCATACCTTGGAGATTTGGTCACAAAAGCTATTTGACATGGTAGTCTCCTCTATCCCCTGGTAAATACAAGTAGGGGACTAGAGTGTGAGGAAAGCTTCAGATTTCAACTGCAGCTTATGCTGTAACAGCCTTGATACCCCCACCATCCTGTTCATACTCTCCATGACCTCCAGTTCCCTGACTTCCAGTCTGATTTGTTTTCAGCCATGTATTGCCCTTCTTGCTCAGGAATAAGATTTACAAATCAATTATGTCAATATTTGCTTGTCACTAAGGAAAAAAAAAACTCTAGGGAATGTTTCAAATTATGAATGGTTTTTCTGTAGTTCATGAAGCCAGAAAAGGCTTGTACACATCATATATGTAAAATATAAAACTACACTGAATGCTAAAACTGATAGGTTAAATATACTGAAATCCTTATCCAGCTTCCCTTGATTTTTATTTTGGAGATATGGCACAATAAAAATTGAGACTAATTTTAAAAATAATACATATATATGGCAGGCAACTTTTTTTTTTAATAGAACCGATAATTTTTTAACTTTTTTTTCTTTATTTACGGGATAAAATGGCTAGAACAATTTGCATGATTCTTTTTGGTTCCTATCCTCAGAGTAGCACATAAACTCAGTGTAACAAAATGGTAACATATCACTGTCTGGATTTTAGACTGAAATATAACTACTCACTCTTTAAGTGAGAAGTTTTGGGCTTTTTTAAGATTCTTTGTTATTTGAAAAATGAACCTTTTAAAGAATATTGTAATATCCATTTGGCGGTTAGTCATGTATCATTTTTTACCCATTTAATGATAGTCTTTTAACTAATATACCTTGAAACTTTATGTTACATTTAAACTTGCGCTTGCAAAATGATTTATCAAACTGTAATTATCCTTCCTATCCAGCCTGACCTACGTAGTGTAAAATGCAATTTCTTTGTCTCATCTAGACTTTGCTAACTGGCAGCAATTAGAAGCATTTCTCTGCAGATGGTCCTTCTAATACCTTCTTCATGACCTGAACTCCTCTTTCAGAGACCCTGAACAAGTCTACATCCATCTTCAATTTTTAAACAAAAGCCAACATCTCTAGATGTTCAAGAGCCCTGAAACAGAGATGGTTGTCTTCCAGATGATACTAGCCTTTCTGTATGTGGTCACTGCAACACTACATCATGCTGATTCCTCTCTTAACAACACGCTGATGCGAAGGCAACTGCTAGCTTCCCTTTATTTTGTGTTTCAGAGCTTTACTCAGGTTTCAGACACTCCTATGCTGCTTGAACGGAAACAGAGATAAACTGTTACATATAGAAAATGTAATCTTTGTTTTCTTACAAAAAGATAGAGCTAAATCTTCAACTAGTAAAATTGTATATGTTCACTGTCTGCCTTGGGCTACATAATGTATACCAGCTGTGAATCTAGGACTTTTTAAAAAGGGGCTTATATAAGAGGCAATACAAATGAAAGGAATACATTTGTAAAAGAGGAAGGAAAAAAAAAATCCATGAAATGATTCTGCTGGGCTGGCCTGGTATTTCACTATTCATTTAAGAATAATTCCACTATGCTCAATGGCAGTTCATTGCTTTTCAATAGATATAACTTCATTCACTGCTGTTGAGTAACTTTGAGTTCAGCTGGGAAAAACCAACTCTCTTTATCCCTCATGTGAGAAGCAGAGAGCTCAGAAATCTCTATGCACTACGTAAATGAGGTTTAGAAGCGGGTGGGATGCTTTGTGTCTTGCTTCCTAGTCAGTGAAGCTGTAAATGACGAGAAGGATCTGTAACTTTGATTAATTCTGGCAAATTAATTCCGTGAAAACCATGTTGAAATTTTAAAAGAGGAAATACCATTACAAGAGCCTCCTCATGAATGCATGGGAGGAAAATGGTGCAGAGATTTGTGCTGGCATTCACCTGACCTGGAGTGTTTCCAGGCACATAGGGAGACCTGTGACGGTGATCTCACGGGTCTCAGAGCAGGGTTTGCTCTGGGACCACTTGGAAATGCCTGAGCCTCAGCACAGCATTGTGAAAATTAAGCAGTTTGCCCCTGGTTCTGAGACAGAGGGATCCTACTGGGAACTAAGACACAGGTTTCAAACACCACAATGTAACAAAAAATCTGATTTAAAGTGAAGACAAATTTAAGCCATCATAAAAACCCATCAATACATTTTGTTTAATTTTGCCAAAATGATGTATAAAACCACTTCTTTTCCTGTGAGAAGGGATTGCTTCTCCTGTTTATAGCTAACTTTTTAGCTCTCCTTTTGACTGTCAGGATTTTTCTTAATATACTGTAATGAGAGAGATTTATATGCTGAATGCTGAAGAATAGTGTCTTCTACAATTGTTTTTTACATTCTTTTCTCTTAAATGATTTCTTAAATATTTTTGCAGAATGACTAAAAAAAAACCCACAAATCAGTGTGGCGTGGATTTTTGATGCTGATATTCTTCCACTGCTAAAGAAAGAAGAAAATTATTCCCTTTAGTGCCGCTGCTTTGATATAAAGAAATCTGTTATTATTCATTGAGATATACTGCCATGTGACATTTTAAAAGCACTTCAGTAAAGGTTATTCACTTAGTCATAAAATCTACGGTGAAATTAGATAACCTATGTAAAACAGTCTTTCATAATGTTTGTATGTTCCTCTGAAAAATAAAGAAAATTAAATTACATAGGAAAGTGAAAAGTACTCGTCATCGAAAGCAATTTACTAATTGGAAAAAAAAAATCCACATTGAGCCTTGTCAGCAAAAATTCCTCTCTTTGATTCCAGCAATTCAAAGTCAAAAGTAAGGTTGAAGATATAGATTCAAGTTGTGTGTACTGGACTCTGAAACTAATTTTAATTCAACAGTCTAGATATTTGATTAGTCTGCATGATCAGAATTTATTTCTGGGCATTACCACATGCTAAATTTTCCAATCATTTTGGACAAACCTTATGAAGTTGTCCTTTGTTTCACAATCCCACTGCAACAAACCTCATTACTTGGCTAAAGAAAGGGGCTTTGGATGCCAGCTAAGTCACAACTCTGCTTTACTTTTCTTGAAGACTGCCAGGGAGAAGTGCTTGCAGAGGCTGATTTTTGAGAACCCCTGAGCAGTCTCAGCAATCGTGGAGACCCATGAGCACTTAACTCTTCTAAAAGGCTAGCACAAGAGATTAAGAATTGAATCCGTAACTCCATATAATATTTAACCATGCCAGGGCAGTAAAGAGCTCTTTCACAAAGTGTCTTATTTTGCATGTTTATATAACTTCAGCCATTGCAAGCTTTCTGTCTTATTTGCCCTCTTTCACCCCTACAGCACTTAAGTGCATTCTGTTCAGTTTATCTATTTCTACACCACTAACAAGATCTACAAGTAATGAAACATTGAGGGCAGCCATATATTCAGAACTAGTACTGCCAACACTAAGATACTCCTTACTCTTCTTTATCAAGACTGTATAATTGGCATTTTATCTGCATCAAACAAACAAAAAAGCAAGTACAAATTTGACAACCACCATTTAAAAAGTTGTTTTCTCTAATGCAGGTCTCCACATCACCTATTTTCTCCATATTCAACAATAACACCAATTATATTTTCATGTGCCCAAGTTTCCAGCAATTTAAAGAATCTGACTGATAATGGGTATTGGCTAATTTTTGCCACTTTCAAAATATTGTTTGTTACTTAAGGTACAACCTCTTCTCCTTACTTCCACCGAAGCAATTGTTTTTTTTAACAACAGGGACAGTATTTTGAGAATAGACACAGATTCCCCTCTTTAAACCATACCTCAAGAGCTTTATTTTCATACTAGAAGAGCTACAAATCACAAGGAGATGTTTTTCTTACCGTAATGAGGGATTATTGCCCAAGCCATTGCAGAAGCGTAGATGCCACCAATCATCCAAAACATGCAGAGCCAACTCAGGTGTTCGCCTCGTTTTTCCCGAGCAAGCACTTCCGAAAAATAGGAGAAGACTGTCGGCACAGCTCCACCGATCCTAAAAGAAGATATAGATCATGGATCAAGCAAGAGAGTAACAGCTATTTGAAGTTTGAACAAGCCCATAGCTGCAGTCCTTGAAAACCCAAGCTACAAGCAGCATTTCTGGCAAGAGTGGTTTTTCTCAAATTGCACCATGTATTGGAGAACTCTTGAGGAAACTTTCATCAGTTTGGATGCACTTTTTGTCAAAGATTTCCTTGAGAACTCTGTGTACAATTTGTTGCATTCAGTGATTCAGGGGGATTGTCAATGTGCTGGCTGCTTCAACAGAAACCAGCACAAAGTGTTGACTTTCACCATCACAAAAATCCTGTAATCATGGCAATTTACTGACAAGTGTCAGAATACGTTGCTTTTAACCAAAAATACTAGTCATTTTACCAAAGACTAATAGATATCTCTCTAAGTCTTACCTCCCATGTTTTAGACAATCAAGAAGTGACTAACTGCCAACTATGTTACTAATACATTTTATTTCATGCATATTTAAAAAGATGTCCTATTTAGCTGCACTATATATTTGGTAAGCCCATGCTGGTTTTTTACTTAATTTTTTAATGAAAAGCCTATGTATTCATATAATATTCACTGTTTTTCATATGGCAAAAAACCCCACTGTCTGAAGGTTAGTTAGACAAAAAAAAAGAGTTCCACTTGGTTTTACAATACTTAGTATAACTCAAATTACATATAATTCTTCAGTATCAGCTTTGGGTCATCTTTTGCTGTCTCTTTACCTCTCCACTCCCAATGCAAGCTGTCATATACTCCACAACAGGATAAGTCCTTGTGGATTTTAGTTTTCTTCCTGAAGAAAATACCTGTGAAGCTTGAAGAGATATTCTTACATACCAGATTACATATTTATAGCAGTATCTTGCATGGTTTGAATTTTTAACTGAACTTTAAAGATAAGTGCATATTTATGCTGTCATCTCAATGACTGCCAAACTGGAGCAAAAGGAAGGAAGCTTGAAACAGATTAAAACATATATTTAAAAAGGAAATAATGAATATAAAAATGGTATTTCACTCCTAAGAAAATTCAGTGCGATAGCAATACAGTTCATTTTAAGACTTCTTCAGGTCCAGCAGTGAAACACTGGATTGAGCTGTTACACCTGTTTAGGGGCCTGCTGTTCTGTCTCTTCCTTCTAGACAGCTCTTCATGGAATACCACTGGTCAACTCAGCTTCACAATGAATGTTTCCCATAGTGGACTGTGCTAGCTCTTACACTCTCTGGCAGTTCTGCAAAGGTTCATATCTCCATGAATTCTTCTTAGATATACAACCAGCAAGAGCTGTACCTCATTTCTTCTCATGGGTGAAAACACTAAAAGACTTCGCTAGTGACAGGCAACAGGAGAGACTGTCTTCAGAAGTTCTCCTGGAAGCCCAGGGCAAGGAACAGTGGAAGGGGCATGGCTAAGGGTGAAATCACACCTCATTTTGCTGTGATGGGGAAGCCCTGCTACCTTAGTGGTGCTATGGGCTCGGGGCTCTCCGGTTCCCAAAGTGTAAGCAAATTACAGCTATGATTTCTTGCCCTTTGGGTCTCAAGCATAGCTTTGAATTGCACTCCCACAATATTCCCTGAATACATTATTCATGGATCTAAGTAGAGTTCATGTTGAAATGTCCTAATGTTGAAAATTCACTAGCAGACCCAGAAGAAAGATCTTCTTTTTTCCTGCCTAGGGTGGAAAGTGCTGATAAGGAGTTATAGGTACACACTTCCAAGAAGCCCTAACCTAATGCGTTGCTGGTAGTACGTAGGACAGTATTGTTCATGCAATAACAGCCTGCCTACAGGGAATAATGTTTGGTAATTAAGTGCATATTTTTCTGGTTGTGTGTGTCCATTAAGAAAAGTATAGAGAATGGTAGGTAAATTTGTACTTGGTAATTTTCCTGTTCTATTATCCAATCTGTTGTTCTAAATTTACAGTTTTCTTCATTTCATGTGTTTTTTCATGAAGCACAGAATCTTCTCTTTACTTTATAATGCAGTTACTATGGTAGTAATTATAGCCTGAAACTATCTGTGCTATATAGCACAATTAATAATAAATCACATTTAACATAATAGTTTTTCTATTGCAAAGTGCTTGAAACATTCTCTATGAAGGGTTCATTTCATACAAATACAGTTCTTATGCTTATGAAGCTCAAGACTCAACATACAACCTTCTTGAAATTTCTCTTTAATCTCTTAGGCTGGAATTCCAATGAAACAGGGGTTGTGGAGAGTTTCCAATGGGTAGAGTATGTCGTGCATCCGTAGGTCATACAAATGTTTGTGGGATAGTGGTGTAGGAAACAGGCAGACGCTCCAAGTGGAAAGAATATACCCTATCTTAATGTCATAAAATGTACAGAGATCCTGACCAAAGGTAGCAAAAAAGGCAGCTCCCACCTGTCAGCATGAATGAACTGTATCATGGAGGATGGGAGGTTGATCATGCTTTAGCTTTTAAAACTAATCCAGGTGGGTTGACTCATATGCTATGTCCTAAAGATCCTCCAAGGCTACAGAAGCAGCATTTTTCTGTAGCAATTTAATAGGGCAAATTTTTCAACAAATAAATCTTTCAGACTTGTAAGAGGAATTTTGGAGCCGGTAAATGTTTTTTTTAGGGTATGCAAATAAGCAGAAAAAAATTAATCAGCTTTGGAAGAAAAGCAGTTTCTCTCTTTCATCTGATGTGATTAAGTTGACATTTCCAGTATACACCAACAGGCTATGAAAAGCTTAAAAGTCCAGACATGATGTTCATATTTATTAAGCAGTGAAAATTGTTTACTCTAAAGCTGTTGAATGAGAAATAAAGGATGTATTTTCATCATACAGACAACAGCTGCTATTTAGCTTTTCAGGTCTCTGTAGCAACAGCGTAGTAAAGTGCATTGTGTACTTTTTTGCATCTTAACCATGTGAATGGAAAACTTACTTCTCAGCTGGCTAGTCTTCCTTCTGGTCTCATGTGAGTGCTGGCTGATATTGAAAGAAGCTTTTAAAACATGGGTACCTAATGAGCTCTTCCTATGTCACTAACACAAAGCTATTACAATGACAAAAAACGATTACAAAAATCTTAGAGAGGCTAATTAACAGCTGAATAGGAGGATAGAGAGGAGGGAGATGCAGAGGAAGCACCCTGCTGACGACTGTTCCTTTGCTCTTACGCTGGATAACCTGAGGGTGGCAGTAGCCATGTGTTCACTCCATAAAACTTGCTCACAAATGCAGAGCAAGTGACAGCAGAAAGGGAGAGCAGGAAGAGCTATGGCTGTTATCACGCCAGACAACAATAAGGAAACTCCTTAAAAACTGTGTGAACCTGGAGAACTTTTTTAAGGAGCAAATAAATTTGTTTGACTCTTGCAGAAATTTTGGTGTGTTCTTGGTACCACAGCCATTTACTATTATAGAACTGATATGGCAGCTGGTATACTGCACATTGCTAGCACAAGTGTAAACTGCCTCTCAAAGACTTGGGCAAGAGATCAGAGCAAATCCGACTTCTTCCATCACTGTCTTCTAAGAGTCTGTCACCTACTTCAGAAGCTATTGCACATTATTAATTAATTCATCAAATGTTCATATAAAAAGGCCCCACCATATCACCCAACAACTGCATGGGAGAATGGATCTTCTACAGTAAAAAAAATCCTAGGCTAAATCCCATCTTCACTTACACTCACGTAAGCCCTGAACAATTCAGTGACTCCAGCTGAGCACTTCCATATTTATACGGAAGAAACAGAATTAGACCATCAACATTTTTATATTACAAGTTTGAAAGCAGACTGCCTCTTTGTTATCCTGACAACTTTGTGTGGAATGCATGGTGGCGTACATAGGAAGGAAAGCCTAATAAAATCAAAAGCAGAGTTCCCATTGGTTTTAAAGTAGAAAGATTTTAATATTTTGTTCTATGGGAAGTACAAACACTATTTTCACACAAGATACAGTGTTAAGTATCCTTCTGGCAATTACTTAGTTCAATACAGTACGTTGTTCGCCCTTTGTGTATTTAAAAATTATATGGCTTGTCCTCATTTGTAGAAAAAAAAATGATACACTGAACTACATTCTTGTCTTCACATTTCTCATGTGCAGATGAAAAGACTATGAAAGCCATGCTGATTTGAGAAGAATATTTAATCTAAAATATGGGAGGGATTTTAGCTTTCTTAAACAAAAATTATTCAGGTAAAATAAAGTTTTTACATCTAATCCGTTATTAATGTATGTTGTTTCTTCAAGTCATCATAGCCAAAGTAGTGGACATAAACTTGTTATCTACAGACCACAGAGAGGTGTCCATGCATTACTTCCTAAAGGGTCACAAAAAGTGTCTGACAGGTGCAAATGCATTGTGAGTATGTGCAAATTAATTCCACAGGGCTTTATACTTCCACTGGAAAACTGCGTAGAGTCTGAACATTTTTTTTAAAAGATTAAAAAAGCACTGGTCTAAAGCTCTAGGTTGATAATCATGAGTGATAACTGTCTCTAGAATAACAGATTTTGTAATTAGGAACAGTCTCTTATCAGGAGGAGGTAAAAATTTGCTGAACCTGGCTCAAGACCATAAAATAAACTCTCCCACTGTATAAGAATCAGTCTCTGCACCTAAAAAAACAGAGCACGTTCTTTCAACCTTGTCTTTTTTAATAAAAATGTAGCAATATATGGAAGAACAACACTTAATAAAGAGTGGTAGCCTTTTTCTAGAGTACGTATTGCTCCAGATGTGGAAAAAATGGCATAAATGTCACTTAAAAAAATTACAATTATCAGTCATGACCTCTTTAAGTTATGTGTCATCTTCTGTAATAAACCCCATCAGAAGTGAGCAGACCAAGAGTAGAATGCATAATTTTTTGATATTTTTCTCAGAAACAATTAATTCTTTTGGAAGGAAATACTAATTAATTAGCATACTGTTACACAGCGCAAAAGATGAACCAGTTTTGGAGCCTTATG